TCTCGATCTTGCCAAAGCCTTTGATACCGTTTCACATAATATTTTATTAAAAAAGCTTGAGCTCTATGGTCTGAAGGGTGTAACGCTCGACTGGTTTTCATCGTACCTATCAGATAGGCAACAGCAGTGTGTAGTAGAGGGCTGTGTATCTAAGCCCCAGTTGATAAGTTGTGGAGTTCCACAGGGTTCAATTTTAGGCCCTTTGTTGTTTTTAATTTATATCAATGATCTCCCTGGATGTCTTCTCCATACCAAAGCATACATGTATGCCGATGACACCACGATATATGCGTCCTCTGTATCCACTGCTGAACTATATGTCAAGGTGAATAATGACCTAACTCGCGTTAGGGACTGGCTTCTTGCAAATAAGTTAAGCTTAAATGTCACTAAAACGGAGTATATGTTCTTAACAACTACCTTCAAATTATCTAACTTAGGAAGAGACTTTCCAATTAAGATTGGCTACAATCATGTTAAACGAGTCCAAACAACAAAATATTTAGGAATTCACTTAGATGAAAATCTTAAATGGAACGAGCATGTTGACAAACTTTGTTCAAAAGTCAATCGATCCATCAGTGGTCTAAAACAGGCACGTGCTTATGTACCACTAGATGTTCTAAATACTATTTACAAATCTCTTATTATCCAGCCTGTGTTCGACTACTGCGACGTTGTTTGGGACAATTTAGACCAGGGACTTGTCACTAGGATCCAGAAATTACAAAATCGTGCTGCACGCATAATAACCTTTCAAGGTTATGACGTTCGTTCAGCACAAATACGAAAACAACTAAACTGGGAAGAGCTTGCCTCAAGGCGTCAAAGGCACTTATAATTAAGTCTATTAATGTATGATACAGTGAATGGAAATGTACCTAGTTACTTATATTTTTTTAAGCGATCTTTTCTCGAATGTCTGTGAGAACAACCCTTATAAGTCTATGCTAAGAAATGCGGAATATAATGTTGTACTGGACCACGTTCCAAAAACAGAATATTATAAGGAGTCTTTCTCATACAGAGGAGGAATGCTGTGGAATTCATTACCAAATGACATAAAAGCGTCCGAATCTAAAGCTATCTTTAAAAGAAAACTGGCTAGTAGGCAGGCAAACTGTTGACTACATTTTACTATGTTTTATTATTTGTACATATTTTTAGTGTAGTTGTACAGTATTTACTTCTGTTTCTATACGGCTTTCATGTAAAGAAGTTATGTAACTTATGAAATTACCGTATTCAAATAAAAGTGAATCAATCAATCTCTCTCCCTCTCCTCCTCTCCCTCCCTCTGTCACGCAGAGAGAGGGTCTAGAACTGAACTAAGTCTATAGATACTATTTTTAAGATTAAAGTTCTCGGTAAAATAACGCTGAGAGCATCTCTAGAATAGACTAGAATACAGGTTTTACTGAGATCTGTTTTTTAAAAAATGTAAACACAATTTCAGACAGAAGAGAAGGTTGCCCCATGAAAATCTCCGATTTTGCCCCCAGGGCTCTCCCATTTTCTAATCATGGTATTATAGGTCAATATACATCATTTATTCGACGCGTGTAACGTGAAAAAAGGCACACACTCCTGGAAAGAGCTTTGTCCTAATCTAGGCGGGCATGTTTTTGCCTTCAGTCCTGATTGTTCGAATGAGCGTATAAACGCTATTTCTGTCAAATTAGCTCATGAAGAAGGAAAAGCCGGATAAATATCTTGATGGGAGAAGATACATCAGGGCCTGAGAAAAGTTTAAAGTCAAAATCTAAAGAATCGTAGAGAGAGTGAGAGAGAGAAATAGCTATCCATATACATTCAAGGTGAAAATAAGGTTACATAATAAGTTAAGAAAGCAAGACATCGACAATTGGTAAAAATTAACAATGAGAGGGTAAAAAACAATTAATGAGAGTCAGGGGCACCCAACGAGAATATAGTTCAAACCCACTTAAACATGCATAGCATTGTTAAAGGTATTTTAGTATATTCAAACGATAGATATAGGCATATTTTTATCCCCTAAAATTTTTTCGTCTGTTCGGATTTCCTAGCTAAAAGTCTAGTGATCCGAAAATTATAGGGGTCAAAACTTACCTTTTCGAAAATTTCAGCCAGAAAAAGGCTCCCGAAAATTCTAGGTAACCTTTTTAGGGTAAAAATCCGTTAAAAATGGGCAGTTATACCATTTTTTAGATGTTCGAAAATCCTAGGAGAGGCAGGCAAGCAAGAAATTTTGCAAAAAGTGTTCCGAAAATTCTAGATCTCAAATCGTCTTCCGAACAGATATAGCCTGCGTAGCAAGCGTTTCCCTTAGGTTTCGGAGCAAAGAAAGACCGAGGAACAGGATTCTCGGTTTTGGCCGCTCGAGAAATGAAACAAGAGCCGCTCTTTTACTTGCGCCATTTTTCGCGCGGTCTTTGACTCTCGTTCCTCGTTCTTTGCTCCTAAACCGCACGGAAACGCTTGCTACGCGGGCTAGAACAGATATTTTCCGAAAATTGACGTTGGGTCCCCCTGGAGAGTAGGTGGTAAAAGTCACATGCCATTGCCGAAACACAACAGCTTCCCCAATCGGAGCCTCTGAATCAAATCAAAGGGATTAACATGACATAATCCTAGAGGGTACACCTTACATGCAAACAAAAAGTAATTACGTACAAACTAAAGGCCTATGAATGGAAAACCCTATAGAAGAATAACAGAATCCCCGAAAGGAGCCCCTGAGTGCATCGGCAATCACAGAACAATAAATTCTTTTCTTAGGGGCCGACCATTTAACTCTTGAAGGGGGGAGTGGGTGATTTCTGGTCATCAAGAATTTTTTTTTCTAGCAATCTGGTGGGCAGGATATTTTTTCCTTTTTTTCCCCATAAGCTTTCTATTACATTTGTGCTGCATGCAATTTTTTTCTTCCGAAAAGCGCTTGCAGGAAATTTTTTTTCAAAATCACTCACCTCCCTTCCCCCCATCCCTCAAGAGTTAAATGGTCGGCCCCTTAAAAACTTACAGTTAAAACAATAATTAAAAAGTAGTAAAATATGCAATTCAAAGGGTGAGATGTGTGTGAGAGTGCATAATTGGGAACACCAAAATGCCTCTCTTGTAAGAAGACGTTTGTCAACGTTGTGTTTATCGTCGTTATTACAGATTTGCTCAATTACAATGAATCCAAAGTCAGAAAATTGATGTTTCTCTTTGTTAAAATGGACAGTAACTTCACAAGTGGTCTTCTTTGTAGACATAGCCGACTTGTGGTTGCGGAATCTGACCTTGAATTCATTGGATGTGGAACTAACATACTGAACTTTACATTTATTACGTGTGACTAGATAAATTTCACTTGTTCTGGCTATAATTTTGGTTGTTTATCCGTAAAAATCGTAAAATTAGCTTGCCACGTGCTGGAGATGGATTTTTGCCTTCGTGTCTCTGCGACCGTGATTGCGTTGCCTAAAAATCACCCTAGGGGTGTTTTGTTTTGATTGTTTTGACTTGCCAGACTCAAGCGGATTGTCAAACGAAAACTAAGACCCCTAAATTTACCATTAAATTTGATCTAAAACTCGGTGGAAAGAATCGAACATAAGATAATTTGATAGATTAGACCTATTTCGGTTACAATTGGACTTCATATTTCGAAGGATTCGATTTTAGGGGGTCTTAGTTTTCATAATCTCGAAACTGCTAAGACGGGTCTTAGGTGTTAGTTTTCGTAACACCCCTGACTACCCATCTTAATAGCTAATTGGTATACATAAATGTATGACCAATTCTCCCGATGCACTTCGGCGGGAGGTTTCTACAGCTATTCCTATCTCAATGGCAGTCGCGAAAACAAAACTTTTAAGTTTTTTCTTTTGGATAATATGTTTGATGGGGACGGTAGATTCTACACAAGATGTTTATGGGAATATCTGGGCTGTGAAAGTACGTGGAAGTCTACAGGACGCCAATCAATTGTCCTTCAAGCATGGTTTCAGGTATGACAGACATGTTTAGCCAGCCATCTTAATGGCTCATTGATATGCACAAATGTACGTCCGACCATTTCTCGCGATCACTGCGACGGGAAATTTCTACCTCAATGGCGGTCTCGAAAACAAAACTTTTAAGTTTTTTCTCTTGGATAATATATTTGATGGGGACGGTAGATTCTACACAAGATGTTTATAGAAATATCTGGGTTGTGAAAGTACGTGGAAGTCTACAGGACGCGAAGCAATTGTCGTTCAAGCATGGTTTCGTTTATGACAAACATGTGAGTTCTTCCAGTTTAAATTTGGTTAAATCTACTCAAAACCCATTTCAATATCACCATTGTATCGTTGAAACGCGTATTGCTAAAAATGGGAACTGTATTATTTACCAAGAAAGGAAAACTAGACAAGCCAAGATTTCCCTTACGAAGCTATTCTGCAGAGCTGCAGAACACAGGGAGCCCACACAATCTGTTTGTGTAACTGATTGCCCGGGGTTTTATTTTATAGTAAATGTTCTGGATTTACCGTTTGCTTCACCTATAGCGATATGTATATAAATCAATGATAAATAAACGTTGAATTACCTTACCTGTGGTATATAGTCGTCGTTTTACCTCAAAAGCGGTTTTTTGAGCGATTTTGAAGTAGTTTGAGTTCGCCGTTGACTGTTCCATATATATCTTTTATTATAAGGACTATATACCACAGGTAAGGTAATTCAACGTTTATTTATCATTGATTTATATACATATCGCTATAGGTGAAGCAAACGGTAAATCCAGAACATTTACTATAAAATAAAACCCCGGGCNACGCGTATTGCTAAAAATGGGAACTGTATTATTTACCAAGAAAGGAAAACTAGACAAGCCAAGATTTCCCTTACGAAGCTATTCTGCAGAGCTGCAGAACACAGGGAGCCCACACAATCTGTTTGTGTAACTGATTGCCCGGGGTTTTATTTTATAGTAAATGTTCTGGATTTACCGTTTGCTTCACCTATAGCGATATGTATATAAATCAATGATAAATAAACGTTGAATTACCTTACCTGTGGTATATAGTCGTCGTTTTACCTCAAAAGCGGTTTTTTGAGCGATTTTGAAGGAGTTTGAGTTCGCCGTTGACTGTTCCATATATATCTTTTATTATAAGGACTATATACCACAGGTAAGGTAATTCAACGTTTATTTATCATTGATTTATATACATATTTATAGCGATATATCGCTATAGGTGAAGCAAACGGTAAATCCACTACATTTACTATAAAATAACAATCGGCTACACAAACAGATTGTGTGGGCTCCCTGTGTGCAGAATGGCTTCAAGAAGTGCTACAAGAGAGCTGTAACAACGCTGGCTGCAGTAGTAGCAAATTCAGTTCAGCTCGACTTTCTGACCCTAAAACTTTAATTTTTTTGCGTTGTTTGAAGTAATTTTACTGTTAACATGGCACGTTCCTCATGAACTCTGGCATACCATTAAGCAATAATGTGGCTTAATATGAACTGTCTTATGGGGTATTTACATCGGTATTTATTGCTCAAATGACGCCATATGCCGTGTGATATGACGTCATCTATCATCCCTTCCCTATCAATTCTCAATATTTGAAGACGTGGGGGGTTGACAACCCCGAATCACGGTCACTCATCTAAATGTAAGAAAAAAAGCGATTGTTCTACATAAAGTTTACACGGACAGCAGCCAAATGATATTTTGATTCGTTGCTAAGCTTGACAACGCTCACTTTGACGTTTTGCGCATGATCCGGTACGATCTGCTACACTTTTTTTGTGAAAGAAATCAACCCAATTTTACTTTGGTCGTCATTAAATTTTACAATGGACTGAGGAACGTTCAATATTATCATGAACGTAAGAATCTTGTAATGTATCGGTCAAATCGAAGCTTCAACATCCCCCCTGGCATACTCCGGGCATTTGACACATTTGCCGTCCCGGGAGGGGATGGGGAATTTGAATCATAACCTCGATTTCATGTGAAATCTCTGGGAGCTATCATGGCGGACGCGTAGAGGATTTTCGTGGAAAGATTGTGCCTTTGTGGCCAATTGGTTACGAGGAAAGGGCTTAAACAAGCTTCGTGCTATATTTGAAGGTATTTGCATTTTAATATTTTTAACATTGGATTCAGGCTTTGAATGTATGATTGTATTAAGTTGTGCTTACAATTCCTATATCCTGACCTACTGTAAACTGGCGATTCAATTCAACAATAAAAGGCTCAATTACCGAGGTCAATTACAGTGGAATGGTCATGAATATCGCATGTATGGAATGTAGTAATCTTAGTAGCTGGGATTTTTTTATAGAACGCTTTGTATGTTGCATGCAACACAAAGAAAAGCTGAGCATTCAGTGACCTTGTAGCAGCGATTTCCGCCGCAATGCACGAGAGTTTTGTCCCCGAGGTGGGGGCATTTGATCACCAGAATGGACCCCAGTGTGGGGCATTTGAAGGGCATTTTGGCTCAGGTAGGGGGGAATTTGAACAATAATTTTGAAAAAAGTCAAATGCCCGGAGGGGTTGCCCTGGGGGGGGGGGGAGTTGGGGGGGGGGGGGATGTTGAAGCTTCGATTTGACCGATACATAAGTGCGAACCCCAGCTGAGATTCATAGTGTGCGCTTCTGAAATTTCCCACAGTCGTGCTGGAGCCACTGAATTCACAAAAACACGCAAAATACCACGAGATTCAGTAGAAATCTTATCAAATACATGTCTGTACAACATATCTCAGCTATTGGGGCTATTTACTTGCCATAAACTTGCAAATTTATCTTGAAACTTCGTCACTGAAATGTGTAAACAACGTCGCGAAACTATCAAGCATAGATTATGTTGTGAAAAACTGGGCACTAGCCAGCTCCTAAAGACTTTGCCATTGGTTCATTTCTGGAGCGTATTGTTGTTGAAAGAGCAAATGATGTCCTCTTCTAGAAAAATGTTAAAAACGCTGTTCTCACTTTCAGCGAAGTTTGCCCTGAAAATTCCTGCGAAATCGGCTGATTTTTCCGCGAATTTGCCCCTAAAAATCCCATGAAAATTAATTTGACTTTTTTTCCGCGACATATCAGAAGCCCTGCATAGTATGGCGCGATCGATCAGATTTGCAAATATGGATAGAAGTCGGTATAAATTTGGAGGTAAACTGACTTTGTTTATGCGATTTGGCACATTTTTTATGATGAAAGCTAAGCAAGATAAGATGAAATGTTCATTTTAACTTTACTCTTTTAATTTAAATCTAAATCATAGAGAAATCTGGTAACCACTTTGGCAACTAAACCAGAATTTTTAGTTGCCAAGGAGAAAATGTTAGTCGCATTGGCGACCGTATTAGTGTAATTTCGAGCCCTGTATCAACCACTTGTTTCAGCGGCCGATCGTGGGGAAAGAACGCATGATGAAGCCCTAAGAACTTCTGCATGTGCAGCTAGGAGGGTGGTAGAACAAGATTTTTATAGGAATTGTCTACTCAAAGTTACTCATTTTTGTGTGTTTTTCTCTGGCCTGTTTGACTGAATGTAATAATTGTTTAACTTCCCTCTGTGCAAGTTAGGTGTCAGAGTTGCTATTCTAGGGCTATAGCTAATAACATCACAGCTTAACTGACAGATGACCAATAACACCACAACTTGATTGACCAATCAGATAAATAGCCAGAGTTTATGACCAATCAACAGGCGTGATACAACTCACTTTGACTCTGAAAATGTATACCACGCAGGTTGTTGAAACATCAGTCACTGTCAACAACAGTCCTATTCAGGATTATGCTCACCTGGACAGTCATACTTCACTTACTTATGAAATGACTCCTGGGTTCAAACCTTTCACATTTTCAGGGGCCTGTTTGCACATAGGCAGTTAGAGAAAGATGAGGTGTGAATTTAATGTAAATAAATACAGTTGTGAGTTATGTAATTTACACTACATGGCATGTACTGAAATAAAGTTGACTTATCTGTTCTCAGCTTTTTGAAGACTATCACATTTTTAAAAGGACAGAAGTAGAACAAACACCAGAAAAGACAGCTGAGTCTGTGGATATTGACAGAATATTAGATGGGGAACCCAAGGTAAAGTCCAACATGTGCGGTAATAACAACAAGTAACTTTGGTTCCGTTCCTTTATAATGTCTGCTTCGGGAGACATTGATTGTTGAACCATCACCCAATATCAATACCAATGCCCCCCTCCCTTACCCCTGATAAACACAAAACGACCCATTTCCCAAATTATAAACATGCCTTCATACCTGGGGTGGGGGCACCCCCTTATTTAGCCTAGGCAGGTATGTGCTGCTGAACAGATGATATTTTTCATACATGTCAGTTGGTGAGGAATACTTGTCATATTTATAAGGTAATGTAGCTGAACTGTCAGGATTTAGAGTGTGGCATACCATGGCACCCACTTTTTTTTAGTACATTTAATGATCTTCACTTACAATTTTTCAGATTGGGTGGTTTATGCAACAGAAAGAGAAAAGTTATCAACTTTTGTCTCCAAGATTTAATGATCCTTTGTTTGAGGAACAATGGTACCTTGTAAGTTACTCACTTTTCTGTTTATTTTCAGCTGTTGTAAAGAAAATAAGATATTGTATATTGATTTAAAATTTCTCAAATTAACCATCGTCTGGCTAACAAAACTGAAGCTGACGGTTCACTTGTTTTACCTCGTTCCCCCCCCCCACCCCTTCCCCAGTGGTTCATTTTACAGGTATTATGGGTACTTCAAGCTACATGTAAAGTGAAAGAAGTTGAGACAAGGATTCAAGGTTACAGCTGGGGATTGAGCGCGGGATCCTAGCTAGTCTACAGATCCTCCCTCTGCTCAGAAAAAATCGGAGAAGGGGCATCTGTGATTCACCATCGTTAATCGTGTATGGGAATAATTTTACATAAATTGAAAAAAATAGTTTCTGCCAACCACAATTTGCGTAGCTTGTGTTTCATTTCATACCAGCTCTCAAAATGCTGGTGCATGCGACTTATTTCCATCCAGCAATTGAGAGAGTGAGATTTTTTAAAATAGGTTTACTCTATACTGAGCAAGAAAAATGCTCTTACAAGCCCTACTTATTGAAGCCTTCACACTGGATACGGAAAGTCATTAGTTTGAAATAGTGTTGACATGTTAGAGGTGACTCATAAGCTCGTCATAGTGTTAAACATGACTATATCGCGTTTGCTTGAGCAACACACATTTTTTTCCTTTTCTTTATAGCACCTAGCCTGTTCCAGACATTCAGAAAGTATAGCGCTGTGTTCAGATAATGGGGAGCCAGAAAGTTATGCAGAGGAAACGAGGGGAAAAAAACAAATCCCGTTTTTTTTTCCTCATCAATTTGTCGACCGCGCTCTACGATCTGAATGCCTGGAACAGGCTATATAGCACCTACATTATTCATCCCAGTGTATGGAATACCATAAACTTTGACTGAACAAATCTTATTTTTTCCTTTGATTCTTACATTTACAGGCCATGAAGCTGGTATGTCTCATGCATATTGAGTTATTATTTCCTGTGGTTTTATGTCTCTGTAGGTGTTTGTGTCAGGATTTGATCTTGCAGGGGTGCCTTTTAGCTCCGGTTTTTCTTTGACCACTTTGAAGCCTAAAGCTTTTTAGTGCAGCTAAAAAACCTTTCCTTAAAGATTTAAGTTTCTTTTCTTTTCTCCAAAATCCCTGGATCTAAATAACTACATGCGTGTAGTTGTCCGTGAATGTGATAAATTTCCGATTGCCTGCTATGTTTTGATGGCAGGCCCTAAAGCCAATCAAAATCTTTCATTTACATGCTGAAGTGATCTACAAGTAACAGCCAATCAAATTATTTTCCACACATTCTGGGAAAAATAATGTGGCCTCCATACACGATTAGCAACAGTGAATCACAGACTTCCTTTGCTTGTTCGATTTTTTCTGAGGGGATGGGAGGGGGGTCTGTGCACAGGCTAGGGATCACTAGCAAAGAAGAAAGTGAAGTAACCAACTCAGTGCAAATATATACTTGCTCCTCAAAAATCTCAGCAGAAACCCATCCCATTTCTTTGAAAAGCACTTTTGACTTGGAAGTCTCCAGGCTTATAGTCTCCCTTGCAGCCGTTTTTTGGATGTCACGCAATGCTCCCCCAAAAGAGCAGGAGAGGCAGCATTGCGTGACATCCAAAAAACAACTGCGAGGGAGACTACCAGGCTTAATGATGCTTTTCAATTGCCAGTTGGAGTGCACAAGAAAAAGGCCAAAAAGGAAAAGGGAAAGAAAGGAAACAAAATGGATTGAAGTAACAGGTGCATGGGAAAATCTGGTGATTTTAGAGCAACTTTCTATTTCTAGCAAAATTGTCACTTTATACGCTCTTTTTGCCCTGGGCCCTTCATTTATAGTTTACATATGTAAGCAAAAATTGTTCAAGCAAAGTGAATAGGCTTTGGAATTGAACAGCTCAAAATCAGCTATTATTTTTTCTCAAAGGCATGATTTTTTCGCTTTTGTAGACAAGACCAAAGAATCCTACTTTCAACATCACTTCTGTCTGGCCAGCATACACAGGAAGAGGAATTTTGGTGGCAGTAGTTGATGATGGAGTTGATGGAAATCATCCTGAACTTTCTTCAAACTATGTAATGATTTCAATATTATTTTTATCTTTACTCTAGTTGAGAAAGTTCATAGTAACTATTCTATGTCATCATTAAAATTGATGATTGATCACTTCACAGTAGGTACACAGGACATGTTCCCTGCCCATAGGGTGATCCCTATACTGGCCTATACAGTGGGGCTTCGCCTGAAAGGGGTTTCTTTTTTAGGCCTCATGTATATGAAAGGGTAGGGATTTCACTAGTTGAAGTATACACGCATAAAAGGGTAGGGAAATTTGTCATTTTGGTGTGTAAATAGCCCCTTAGATGCATTTTGTAGCTGTGAAAAAGTCAACAAAAGTAGTCGAAGGTGAGAATGGATTAAACCAGTGATAAAAATAATTGAACCACAACTGAACTTATACGTACACAACAAAACATATTTTTGTTTGTTTGTGTGTGTGTACATGTGTTTATGTTTTGTTTTTACACTGTATAGTAAACACCTGCATTTATATAAGAACACATGATTTCAGGGTTCAGGCTGACCTAGTTCTTATTTATCGGGTGCTTAGTGAGAAATCAGCCTGAAGATGTTCTTAATATGTTCTTAAACTTTGTTTCACAAATACAACACATAATATGTTACCAGGGATTTAGTTAGCATATTTTATTATAAATAAATAAACAAGTAGGTAAACAAAAATCCTAAAGACACCCCAGCTGTTAAAGTTTTTTAATATTGGCCAGCAGTAACCATAGTTACATTGCTTTTTTATTCCAACACCCCCTCCCTTATGATATAAGAACATGTTTTATTTATCAGGCTGGACTGGTTCTTCTATAATTATTATGGTGCTTTCTGGGCAAAATTTCAGCCTGATGTTCTTAATCCATTTATTCTTACTATGTGGGTGTTTACTGTACTTCATATGCAAACTGCTACGCACAGATTCCATGTTGAAGGACTTGAAGTATATACGAAGAATTACTATGGGGCTGTCATCTAGGCCTGGAGGCTGGGATTTCCCTGGGCTATTGAAAATTTGAAGCCTGGCTTGAAAAGCAATACACCGACCTTATCAGGAAAGTTGAAATCTCAGGGTTCTTTCTAATTTATTCCCCTGCCCTCTTCAAAATAGTGAGAGCCAAGATCGACCTATCAGATTTTGTTTTTATATGCCGCTGCAATTTATAGCAAGAAAATAAATCACGTTTTGATTGATTTCTTCAGTCACTCTCTCTCTCTATACATAAAATCATTCGTTCATTTAGAATGTTTGATGGAATATTTAAGTTTTATTGTGTATAAACTTATGGCACTATTTATACTTTTTCTTTTCAAGAATTCTACAGTAAGTCGTGATTATGTGGACAATGATCCAATACCAGTTCCAAAGCATGGTACAGTTTCAGGGTATGTCTGCATTTATATGGCTGTTTTATCTTAAAAGTCGAATGTCAAATGCTCTACATTATGTATTCTTTTGTAGACAAAGGGGTGCTTTTAAGGGTTTGAAACCCTCTGATTAGCAAGAACAAAAAACCTATCTTAAAGCGTTCAGTCAAGCTTGCTTAGAGGTTAGATAAGAAATGAGGAGGTGATTAATTTATAAGGAGCCTGTTTGGGGTTAATTTATAAACCAATAGAAAACGTTTTTCCTGTAATTGCATAGCCTCAGATAAAAACACTCAAGGGCTTGGGAGAATTCTCGACAGATTCAAAGAATTACTTTGTTTTGTGCGGCCGTGAGAGATTTAAAATGTACGTTGTAGAAAATTAATGAAAAAATTTTTTTTTTCTACTCGTAGGGCCCGTTTCTCGAAAGTTCCGGGCCCAAATCAAATATAGTAAAAGTGCGCGGATCCTAGCTTACAAGCAATTTTATTTTGTTTTGTTAACCAACAGTTTTATTCTGTTATCCGAAAAACTATTGAAACATTTATCTGGAATAATAACAACGACTTTCCGGGCCCGTTAATTACGGAGACTTTTGAGAAACGGGCCTGAGACTGTGTTCAAAAATGTCGGTTTTCGATCTCGGCGTTCATGGAAGCCGTAAACGCACACGTCTGTGTACGTTTACTCGGATTCGTGTGAAGCTAATTTCTTCTGAATTTTCCCTAGACATGGTAACAACTGTGCTGGAGTTATAGCCGGAGTGGCTAATAACAGTTTGTGTGGTGTGGGAATTGCATACAACGCCCAAATTGCAGGTAATTGTAGGTTAATGTGATTGCCTTCTTCAATGACAGTTTCACCAAAGACCTCTAAGAGCTTTAATGTACACTGACACAGTACAGGAGGGTATGAGTATTTGTTAGAAGAATCTTTTTTTTTTGTCAAGAAAGATATCTTACGTTTGGGAAAGTCAGAGAACACAGTCTACTCTTAGTCGTTCCAAACATAGGCACGTGTAACGTGCATGCGCTATTTTGGATGCTTCGCTATAACTGTAACAGGAATTGTCCCTTTGAACCCTAATTTTAGACAGGTTCATTGCTGCCGCGCGAGCGAGCCTGAAGCGAGCGAGCAATATGATAAGGTATTGTTGCTCTTTTAATACACGATAGAGTGGTTTTCGTTTGAGTGTCGTAAAATCAAAACCAAAGTAATTACTCTGGCCAATCACATAGGACACAGACAATACATTGAACCAATCAAAACTCAAAGTAATTACATGTGGCTGACGCAAAGCGCGGGAAAATGCATGCCAGCGCGTCACAATTGGCTTTGGTTTTACTTCTGATTGGATGAAAAGGTGGCGCGAATCTTTTAAGCCAATCGCATCGTGTAGAAAGTGCAAAACCAGATACTTTTCGACACTCAAATGAAAACCGCTCTATAACGATATTCAACTAGTAATAGTTGACACTACAGCTGCCCCCGTTCTGTATATTGTCGGTCAATAGTATTCTTGCTCGTTGTGTAGCTCTTTGAAATACAACGAGGAAGGTTTTCACACATATTCCATACAATAGGTGAGATAAATACAGGAAACGCAAGGTTCCATGCACAGTTTCAGCTCGATTTACACAGCTTTGATCAAAACATTCTCAGTTTCGAGAATATTTTATTCTAAACCATAAGAAAAGATTTAATTAGAAGTTGAATTTTTCGCTTTTACTGTTTCCCTTTTTACATTCAGTTTATTTTATTTGTCGGAAAGTAAGCCTTAGAAATTAAAAGGACGTTCGATTGATTCACGCTCGCGCATTCTAGTCTTATTTGAAACTTTATAACGGAAGGACATCTGTGAGCAGGGAATAAGTCAGCACAGAATTTGATTATCGGCGAATTTCTGTGATCGTCCATCGTTCTGCTAGTGATAAGCTAGCCGTTGTTCACTCGTCTTGCTTGTTTGGGGCTGAGTCTTATTCCGGTCAAAGAGAGAGAAAGAGTGTGTGGCAAGGTTTCCAATATATATCAAAGTTTGTGATTTGTTTGGCAAACTCCCCAAGTGTTATTATATGCACAGTTAAACGCACCTTATAACCTCATCTGCGCTTAACGAGTGTCTTTTGGTCCATAACTTTCAAAACAACTGCTCCACAGAATGTCGCTGCGTAACACAAAAGAGTATCGAAGTATGACTGCACAAAAAATGTCACAAAATCTACCTGAGCGGTCCCATCGGGATTTTCTGTCTTTACGTCATCCTAACCATTTCGTACTTGCGGGCGCAAACAATAGAAACGTCATCATTACCTACCGATTCCTCGCGGCCCCTGTTCAAGCAAATCGAGATTTTTTCTATCATATTGACTTTATGACTGTATATTTCAACTGTAAGTACTTTCCTTAATATAAGCGCGAGCTACTAGAGTGCCCTGCGGGGGCAAAAAAAGAAAAATAACAGTAGATTCACCTAGCATTCCAACAACTTTGGGTAGGTGCGTGCCGCCCATGGTCTTAAGCCCAGACCCTATTTAAGAATGAGAAAAACGAAAATTTACACCCTATTCAAGGGAGAAACAAAACTAAGAAATTAATGGTAACACACAGTTCAGTTTCAAAAGATACTTTGGGCGTTAATGCACCTAAATTTTGGCTGAGATAATAACGGTACCGTATGTAAGGATCACACCAGAACACGACGCTAACAAGGGCAAAAACGATACCCTATTAAGGGTGGAGGACATGCCTATCTATTTCATATATGGGAGTACCACCCCCCCCCTGGGGGAGCATTACAAGACAAGACAAGACAAGACAATGCTTTATTTGGAGTCTTATACAGTCCTATGTACATCGACTTTATCCGAATAATTTAAAATCATAACACAAATTGCACACTAGTGGAACTATAATCAATGTTAACCTAAAGAACTAATGATCTTCTTTTCTCATAGCAATCGAAAACGTATTTTGCAATTAACTTTTGCACTGGTTTGTTCTTGCTCGGAGGGTTTATTAACAACAGAAAAACATCATCTGGTGCCATTCTGTTTACTGATATTCTGTATTTTTTGTTTAAGTATTCAAATAAAGTACTTCCTTTTTCTTGATACGCTGGGCACAGAGTTAAAAAGTGTATTTCATCTTCTACGTTTTTTTTACAGATAGGACAGATCCTCTCTTCCGGTTTCTTATAACGACTTACATACCGACCTGTCTCTATCGCCAATTTGTGATTACTTAGACGGAGTTTAGTTAGAGTTATCCGGTGCCGGATGTTGGTTACTTGACGGAGATAATCTTCAGATTTATAATTTTCTATTGTTTTAAATTTTCGGAAGGTTCTTAGTTTGTTCTTTTGGTTGGCGTCTTTTCTTACGTCATTGTTTACGTCACTTAACCATCTTTGTAATTCGATGTCTTTCAGTCTTTGTTTGATAATGTTCAAGATTCCTATGTCATTTTCATGTGCTTTTGTCCAGAGGTATCCCAGCCCTATTTGGTCTAATACGCGTTTGATTTTTTGGCTCCATAATTCCTTATTCATCCTCCACTTCATATCATTATAAACCACCTGTGATAATTTGTGTTTTGGGTGTTTGGTTAGAGTTATCCAAAACTTAAAATTCCTATATTGTGCTTCGATTTTTATTGGGAATCTTCCTGTTTCAGCCCTACATGCATTGTTGTGTATTTACAGTATTTATTTACACCTAGCAACCATTTCAAGAATTTAATTTGAACTTTTTCTTTTTCTTTTTCTATTTGGCCGTTACAGTCAACACCCCAAATTTCACTTCCGTAGAGAAGTATGGGGGATATCAGAGCATCGAATCGCTTAATTGTCAGCATAATATTTTCTCTAAAGTTGTCACCCATCTCTTTTCTTAATTTATAAGGTGCCTTAAGCCCAACCTTTTTTAACTCTTTTCTAGCTAACCTAAAATTTCCATACGTGTTCAGTGTCATTCCCAGATATTTATAAGATTTAACATTGTTTAGTTTATTTACTCCATACTTAAAAGAGTAGTTATTTAAGGAGTTACCACAATTATTGAAGATCATGACTTTTATTTTGTCTAGATTTACAGATAGTTCAGTTTTCTCACGGTAGGATTCTAACTTGTTGAGGAGTGTTTGCAGTCCATTTGCTGACCGCGAAAAGATCACTAAGTCATCCGCATATAATAAACAGTTTTTAGGTCTTTCAGAGTCATCAAGCAGAATATCGGTTGAGCTTGGTGAGTTTAAAAATTCGAGTAGATCACTTAGATAGAGATTAAAAAGGGTGGGTGATAACATACAACCATGCTTAACTCCAGTGTAACAAGGAAAAGCTTCGGTCACTTTGTTGTTGTTTTTGACTGCTGATTTATCTTTTGAGTACATGGACATTACTATTTCTAAAAAACGCCCTTTAATTCCTTCTTTTCTGAGTTTTTCGAATAATTTTTGCCTGGGTATGCGATCAAAAGCTTTTCTAAAATCTNTATAAACCACCTGTGATAATTTGTGTTTTGGGTGTTTGGTTAGAGTTATCCAAAACTTAAAATTCCTATATTGTGCTTCGATTTTTATTGGGAATCTTCCTGTTTCAGCCCTACATGCATTGTTGTGTATTTACAGTATTTATTTACACCTAGCAACCATTTCAAGAATTTAATTTGAACTTTTTCTTTTTCTTTTTCTATTTGGCCGTTACAGTCAACACCCCAAATTTCACTTCCGTAGAGAAGTATGGGGGATATCAGAGCATCGAATCGCTTAATTGTCAGCATAATATTTTCTCTAAAGTTGTCACCCATCTCTTTTCTTAATTTATAAGGTGCCTTAAGCCCAACCTTTTTTAACTCTTTTCTAGCTAACCTAAAATTTCCATACGTGTTCAGTGTCATTCCCAGATATTTATAAGATTTAACATTGTTTAGTTTATTTACTCCATACTTAAAAGAGTAGTTATTTAAGGAGTTACCACAATTATTGAAGATCATGACTTTTATTTTGTCTAGATTTACAGATAGTTCAGTTTTCTCACGGTAGGATTCTAACTTGTTGAGGAGTGTTTGCAGTCCATTTGCTGACCGCGAAAAGATCACTAAGTCATCCGCATATAATAAACAGTTTTTAGGTCTTTCAGAGTCATCAAGCAGAATATCGGTTGAGCTTGGTGAGTTTAAAAATTCGAGTAGATCACTTAGATAGAGATTAAAAAGGGTGGGTGATAACATACAACCATGCTTAACTCCAGTGTAACAAGGAAAAGCTTCGGTCACTTTGTTGTTGTTTTTGACTGCTGATTTATCTTTTGAGTACATGGACATTACTATTTCTAAAAAACGCCCTTTAATTCCTTCTTTTCTGAGTTTTTCGAATAATTTTTGCCTGGGTATGCGATCAAAAGCTTTTCTAAAATCTACAAAACACGAGAAAAGCAAGTTTCTGCGTTTTTGTGGTTTAGATTAAACAAACTTATCTATGAGTGTTTTTAAGATGAAGATGCTATCTACTGTACCGTGCCTTTTTTTAAAGCCACCTTATTCTGCTTTTAGAATCCCTTTTTTGGTCATGTAATCATACAACCGGTCATTGAGGATGGATGTGAGGAGTTTACCTGATGCAGAGAGCAACGTGATGCTCGGTAGTTTTCAGCTTTTGATCGATCGTCCTTTTTATGTATAGGGACGATGAGGCCAAAACTCCAGAGCGTACGATATTTACCTGAACTTAAAATACGATTGAATAACTCTAGTAAATGACCTTTTATGATATCTTTCCCGGTTTTTAGCACTTCATTTAATATTTTATCACACCCTGGAGCTTCGTTTAATTTCAGTTTTTTGATTGCGAAATCAATTTCTTCTTCCGATATTGCATAGTCTAGGTGGCCTGCCTCTTCCTCAATAACTCCAGTATCTTTTAGAACTGTCTGGTCGCCGTTCATTGGAGCCGCGTTTTGTTGTTTGAAGTATTCATAAAACTGTTCCGTACTTACTGTTTCGGTTGCATGTGGTTGCCGTTTTCTAATATTAGAGATTTTACCTATCTGTTTCCAGGTATCTTGAGGATTACGGAGGTCAATATCACCTATACTCTTACTGACAAACTCTCGTTTTTTCCGTCTGCATGTCCGTTTAAATTTCTTCTTTTTGTCTTGTTAAAGGTGCCTCAGCTGGGAATTATTTGGCTCCTGAGAAATTTGTTCCCCAAGGGATTTCAAGTTTTCTTTTTCAGTTTCGCATTCCAAATCGAACCAGTTATTTTGTGGTATGGCTTTAGTTTTGTTACGTTGGACTCTCAAGCCGGCTTTTTTACATGCTTCCACCAGAGTTTCACTAAACAATTCAGCCGCAGTGTCAACATTATCGTTTCTTAAGGCCGCTTGTAGTTTAGACTGAACTATTTGTGATTCCAGACATTATTTTAACTTACACTTCAGTTTGGTATCCCATAATAGTCTATTATGTTCTTACAAGGCACATCCGTTCGAGCAGCTAGAAGAAACTGGGCTGCCAGCTAGAATAGCTTTAAAAGCATAAGTCACATGACAGTGATCTGACAAATGTGGCATTAGGGGGTTAACAATTAACTATCGCACATTTTGAAGTATAGCTTTAGAGCCTATGACATAATCTCTGACACTGCTGCCGTTGTAGTGAAAGTAGGTCTTTTCACCTTCTAGGTCACCAACAGTCCTCCCGTTGAAAATTCGCAAATTTAATGCGGTAGATATTTCCAATAAGTTTCTGCCCCTGGAGTTTACTGTGCCGGAATCCTGCGAATGCCTAAAGAATTGGGAATCAATTTCGTAATCTTCAGGGACATTTGTCGAAGTATGGAATCACCTAATGAACGGGTTTCCAAGTCCCTACTAAAATAGTGGTTGAAAATGGGGGGACGCAGGGTGTGTGAGAGGGGAGATTTTCAACCGTAAATTGAAAAAAAAATTAAAGTATGGCTCAAACATTAGTGGTTAGATGTCGAGTTTGAGGTTAGAACCAGCATCGCTCTTGAGAGACCAGCAAACTGTTATGCAGTCACGTCAAACGCTATTATACAGTCCCAAAATAAGATACAAATTTTACAGTGTATGTGCACCTTTCTTTTTCTACAGGTATTCGCCTTTTTGATGACCATGTCCTGTCTACCGATGCCGGACGAGCATCTGCCCTGTACCATGAACACGACAAAATTGACATATATTCAAACAGTTGGGGACCTGGGGACACGGCTACGGAAGTTGAGGGCCCTGAAATTCTTACGGGAATAGCTATCGAGCTTGGTATAAAGCAGGTAATACATAGATTTAGCCAAGGCCAAAAGCAAAGTTCTCGAGTGATGCTTTATAAAATGTCTTTCTCAATTCATTCAACGTTTGCCGTATACTGAAAGCAAATTGAATTCCGCGCGGGCGTGGAGCTCTGCTATAAACAGTGCAATGCGATACTTATTTATTTGCTTGGAGTTAATTGACCTATTGGTCACCACCATTAAGTAAGTCTACCCCTTCAAAATTCTTTCTTTAAGAGGTGTAATGGTGGGTAGCTAACCCGGAGGGGGGTACTCCCATACATTACCTATACGGGTATATGCCGCCTAACGGGGTCGTGATTTTGAAGCTCCTGATTTAGAACGGGGTATCCATTTCAGAGGCGTTTCTAGAACGGGGTATAATATTTCGAACGCACGAAAGCTCCAGTTTTGTAAGCAGCCATTTGAAATTATGCAAGGACAGATTGCTTTTAAAAATACGGTTCAATGCGTTAACAAGCAAAGTGTTGTACTCTTGTTGCACCCTAGAACGGAGTATAAAAAATTGGCCCATTTCTAGAACGGGTTATCAATGTTAGGGGAATTTTTTTTTAGAACGGGGTGCCAATTTGGGGTCCCGGGCGGCACATACCCACCCAAAAAATACCTGAGTGCCCCCCCCCCCGGGGTAGCTAACCGGGCAGCTGGGCTCTAATTGCTCATGCGTGTGCACAAAGGGTAACGTCATCCGTTGTCCCCCCCCCCCCGGGGTAGCTAACCGGGCAGCTGGGCTCTAATTGCTCATGCGTGTGCACAAAGGGTAACGTCATCCGTTGGATGTTTTCAGTAAAAGTCATTGTGCAACTGAAATAGATTATGCCTTGTTTGTATTTCAGGGTCGTAGGGGCAAGGGTGCTATCTACACCTTTGCAACTGGGAATGGCGGCTTAATTGGTGACAGCTGTGCCTATAATGGTTATGTTAATAGTATTTTTACTATTGCAATCAGTGGTGTGAACCAGGATAACTCTAGACCGTCCTATGCGGAAGACTGTGCTGGTATAATGGCCTCTGCTTACAGTAGGGACACAGCGAAAGGAGTCGGGAAAGTTGTAAGTGAAGTGGTCAAATCACTTGGATATGGTTTGCTGTTTGCACTTCTACCTCAAAACCGAACCCTCGCCATACGGAGGACCCCTTTTAAAGTTATTACAACCATGTGCTTTTCGGGAACAAAAGTCTTTCCCTATTCTACAATTTCGTTAATATGATAACGACCAGCTTTTTGAGTCCCCGAGCAGTCGTTGTCTTCTTCACAGTTTTGTTACTGTTAGTTCGACCAGTCGAATGGATGGTTGGATTGCTTTGCAAGTGAGAAAAGCAATCAATGCGACAAACCGTGACGGTTTTTGTTGAAGGTTGTTCAAAGTGGATAACTGAGCGTTCAAGTGATCTGTGATATCTTGCAGATTGATAGGGCAAAAAAAGAATAGTATTTTAAGGTATCTTGTTGCCTATAAGGTATAGCGATATGACTTTAACCCATTAATATGACAAACGTTTTTACGGCCAGTGATTCCACTAGGCCTTTCTTTCTTTTCTCCTGTCAAAAAGTTTTTAAAAGGCATTTAAAGGAAATGTGTAGATTGTAGATAATACGTATGAGTAGGTATGCTCACCAACCCTTAATTTCCGATTCCGCGACTCGGCTGAGAACGGTTATCGACTACAATCCTTCATTCGGCGTACATTCCGTAATGGTAGCTGTTTAGTTTTAACCCCGGGCAAAGCACTTCTCACACCTTATAACTGGTGTATTGGACGTAAGGAAATGCAATGAGCTCTATAATATATGGGCCAGTGGCCTGTTTCTCAAAAGTCCCGGTAGCTTTTCGGGCCCGGAAAGCTATTTTGTGTTTGCCGTATTTACATTCAAATTCAAAGTTTCAATAATTTTAACAATGGTACAATGAAAGTATCAGCTAACGAAGCAAAATTGGCTGGTTTGTGGGCTACGAACGGTGCTACTATTCAACAGGTTTGGATTTTAAAATTTGCCTTCGGGCCCGAAAAGTTTCCGTGCTTTCGAGAGACAGGCCCCCTGGCCTGAGAGGGCACTCCAGGGAGGTCTGGGTAGAGGTGTACCACCGACTCCTTTAAACTCTGAGCCTGTATCACAAAAGTAGATCGCTCGTCGCGAAACTTCATACTTTTTTAAAGGCTTCCGGTCTTAAAAGACACCCCGTTCAAGACGCTAATAGTGAAAGACTCAAGACCCGAAAACCATAACTTGTTCAGCGGCACATGCCCGTTTAGACCAAATAAGGGAGTGCACCCTTGGAGACTAGGCGGTTTTCTTGTGGAGATATTATTCAGGTGGTTTTCTTGTGTATATTATTCAGGCAACAGTCTAGAGATATTTTTGTATACTAAATTACTATCCTATTCCGCAGATTTCTGCTGATCAGAAATCAGGATGCATTGAAAACTTCGAAGCAACATCAGCAGCTACAGCGATGGCTTCAGGTCTTATTGCGTTGACACTAGAAGCAAAGTAAGTCTTAATGCTTTGAATGTTATTTGATCTTCTGTCGTGTAACCATATAGGCTCAGAATGAGGAAAGAGGATCAACCAGGACCCCAGGGTATACTCCCTATAAGGGCCTATACGAAGAGGCTTGGCCTGAAAGGGGTACCTTCAGGCTTTAGGCTTTAGGTATATTAAAGGGTAGGGATTTCATTATTTGAAGTATGTAAAAGGGTAGGAACAGGGGGAGGAGGGGAGACGGGGTATGGGACTGAGAAACGATGTTCTCACAACTTGCAAAGCGGTCACTTCGTGTGGTGGTCAGCGGATAATAATATTGTAGTTTGTTTCCCACAGTAAATATTTTAGAAGCGAGAAGCGAAGCGGCAGAGGAAATTATTCAATAATTATAAAAATAATATCATGCCTCTTTGCTTTTTTCGCATATCGTATTAGTCCTTTGGTAATGAACTTGCAAAACGCAAGCGGCAGTCACTGCAACCGTGTAAATTCTTAAACCGACAATAACCCGCGCTGGAGACTACCTTGATCGAGTTTATAGGTTAACATCGTTTTGCCGCGCGAGGACATCGAAAGTTTAAAGAAGTTATGATGCTGATAAAAGTTACTGGGGAAAAACAGATAAACAGATTCTCACTTCATAACAACAGTGATAACATTACACTTCGTTTATTACGATCAATCAACACCTTGAATTCAAAGTTAAAAGTCAAAGCGATCCTAATAAACAAATGACAACTATAGGTGAAAGCTCGGTTCCTTGAATCGACCTTAACTTTCCTTAGGTTTGGAGCGAAACACTACTCGATAGCTCAACTCTTCGGTGGTTCTTATAAGCCATATGTTGCACATTTTAAACTCTGCGAATTAAAACAAAGAGCAAACCTTCTCAAAAACCGTTGATCTTTGGTTTTTGGGTAATGCGCTTTGCAAGTTGTGACAACATCGTTTGGATTTCATTGAAGAGAATGTATGGGAAGTAGCTCTCCCCCCCCCAACCCCCTCCCCCCGCCCCGGGTAGTAGGAGAATCTGTCATTTCGGTCTGTAAAAAGATCCGAAAGGGCTTACAGATGCATTTTATGGCTGTGAAATAGTCGAGAATTCGTCCGTTTTTTTTTGTGATTTATTCACCTTTTAAAGACAGTGCATTTACAGCAGCTAAAAGGGATGCAAAAGTCTAAACTAGGTATGTGGAAGGGGTACCATTTGTCAATAGAAGGTATACGAAGATACTCTTTCTGTCGTACTACGGGGTTGGTCTCTGGGGCGGAGCCTCCCACCATAAAACTTTGTCGAGTACCTACCCCCGGCCGGGACCCACCCTTCCATTAGACTGACGTTGCCCTTATGTACTCCTTAACATGAAATGTGGTGTTTAAGATTTAAATGACCCTGGCGTAGGTTGTACATGTAGGCTATTGCTACTGTAGGTTTATATATCATTGCAGTTTTGTTTTCTAAGAAAACCACAATCTTATGTGCAATTGTAGTTACTGTCACGTATCACCCTCGTGAAATAATGAAATGAAATGATGAAATAATGTATTACACCGCGCGTTAGCGAGATTCCAGCGCAAAAAAATGCCTAAAATATCCCCCACTATACTACTTACTTACTTACTCTCCGGAGGAAAGGACGCCCGTGCAACAACACGTCCCTTGGGACTGACGGGTGTGATTTGATGTGCTGTAAAGGTAATAGGGACCTTAAGATACCCTGGACGCGGCGGTAAAGAGAACGGAGAAAGCCTGGAGCGAGGACGGCGCCACCTCCGCGGGAAAAACAAATTAAGATTGAGCAGGTTGGGTTGAGTGCGGCTCGCCTGACGAGAGAGGATATTTTAAAGTAATGCTTTGGTGTTTTAATTCCATGATGTCTTTTAGAAAAACTCGTGAAGTCTTGCTTGATTGATACCTTAACGATCTTTTATTGGAAGAAAAATTTGTGCTGCCAGCTATGACTCCGGTTCCTCTAAAAAAAACAAATTTCTTCAAGGGAAACTTGAGGGTATGATCGGAGTTCAGGTTATCAGCTATTTGTTGCCAGACTTTTTCGCTTTCCGTTGTTCTAGATCCTGCTTTAAAACGATATGGTTCTGCTATGAGAAGTTCCCGTACTAAGGCGAGATTTTGATCTTCAGACCGCTCCATCGCTAAACTGAAAATGAACAAAATAAAATTATAAAAGTTAATAAATGAACCATGGCGTCTTGTTCAAGATCTCAATTTTCTCCGACATGTTCAAGTTTATTACAAGCCTAGATTTTGTTTTCCAACAATTTTTATTCGACTTCTCGACTCTTAAATTTTTCAAATACTATACTAAAGCGAGAACGTTGTCCCCTTAAAAACACACAGTTATAGTGTTACATTTGTGTCGAAAGACTAAGCGCTTTCATTCTCAGTTGCCGCCAAAACACTGAACCCAAAAGGCTTGATAGCAAAAAAATAAGAGTCAATCTTGAGAGAACACCACACTAAAAACACTTAAATGTGTCTCTACGAAAAGCAATTTCTCCACTGAAAACACGAAAACCAACTCACCGTTTTACGAGGCGGCCAAACTTCTAGTTTTCACCGTCGCGACTTCAGGTCGACGCTTTGGCATTATGCTAATTAGTTCCAAGAATTGAACATTTCACTTCCGGCTGACGTCCTCCTCGACCGCGTCCAGAGTATCTTAAGGTCCCTAATGTTACACGGGACGATTTGCAACGACGATTTTTAACGAAACACAGCGTTGCAATGTTGGAACAATGTTGTGACCATTCGTCGCAACAATGTTACAACGTTTTGTTGCACTAAAAGTCGTCGTTGCGAATCGTCCAGTGTAACATCGCCTTATCAGAAGGTATACTTACTTACTTACTCATTTACTAACTACCCTGTATTACTTAATCACTTACTTGCCGTCTACCTGCCTGTTAATGTATTGCACCACACGCTAATGAGATATTCTACTATATACTACTCACTTACTAATTTACTTATTTACTAACTACTCTGTATTACGCACTTACTTACGTGCTGTCTACTTGCCTGCTTGCTCCTTAGTTCCTTCCTTACTATTTAAACTATAATTTTTTACTTTTAAGCCCCTCCCTTACATGGCGTGACGTACAACACATTATAGTAAGAAGTGCGAGACACGCACCAGAAGGAGTTTCACTCACCGATGGATTCTGGGAAACGAACAAGGCTGGTTTATCTGTCAGTAGGTATTTTGGCTTTGGCTTTATGGATGGTGGCTTGATGGTGCACTTAGCAAAACAGTGGAATACAGTGCCTTCACAGCTGAGATGTGAGATTAAGGGCGGGAATGAAAACAGGTTTGAACCTTTTTATTTTGTTCGTTGTTGTTGCTGATGAACAATAACTACAGAAAAATATCTCTCTAACGATTTTTGTTTTGTTAAGTTCTCTAGGACCCATAAAATGTCTGCCTTTTTCACGAGAATCGGTACTCAAATTTGGAGCTCTATTCCTTATTCAATTATAACACTCAAGCGATCGTCTTTCTTTTTGGGAAAAAGATAAAGGATTTATTACTAAATTTCTTGTGGTCAGAAGACGGTAATAGTTGAAGTCCCCCGCCTTATAAAGTTGTTTTACACGTTATCTTAGTCCCTCTTCGTAATTGTTATTTACTTACAGCGTTTTATGTTAGTTTATTCTGCTGATTGTATTGTAAAGTCTTGTCGTTGTTTAGGCCATCTATTGTAACCTTGTATTGTAGCTGTGACTTTCCTCTTCCCCTTTACTGTTGTTGTTGTTGTTGTTGTTGTTTAGGGGGCTCTTTCGTTGTTGCATTTGTCGATTCTCGTGTTCAAAGCTTTAACAATTCAGACAGCAAACATGGAAAGCGGAACTACAAACAGAGCAAAAATGTCGAATAAACAGTGCATAAAAGCAAGATTGCAGTACTTATAACGTAGGTTAAGCTGCTAGAGTGACATTAAGAGCCGCCATTTTGTGCTACTCAAGCGGTTTTTCCCGGTTGATTGCCTTGATTCTCTCTTAAGACATTTTCTCTAAATAGTAAACTTCAACTTTTCTAGCCAGTACTCATAAGAGCGCAAGTTTAAAGGAAAATGGTTTAAAGTCACTGCTTCTGCTCATTCACAAACAACAAACAACTTGTGAATAAAGCAGTAAACGATTTCGCCCGGGTTATCGAGAAAGATTGTAAAAAAAGTGCCCGCTCCTAGAACCAATCAGATTGCAGGATGGCAGGAGTTTGAGAATAGACCTTTTTAGCTTGTATGTTTTGTTTTCCCATTGAAGACCACGTTATGGTACCCCACGGAACTGTTTCTTTCAATTGTCGTCTTATGCACATGCATCCACGTGCATATGTATATGCATAATTAATGAAAAGACAAAAGTCAAATTCCCAAGAGAAAATCACGTGGTCTGAATTGGGAAAATAAAACATACAAGCTAAAAAGGTCTATTCCACCCGCTCGCAAAGTGAGGAAAAAATAAAAATGATACCGTACAGCATTATATCGTCACTGTATCCGACAGCGATGGTATAAAAACAACAACTGGCTTCAATAGTTTGTTGTTTGTTAGTAAATTCAATTTACCACCGTTAAAAAAAGATAAATCCGTCAACTTTCCTTTCCCTTTCCAGTTGACTTTGTCCTTCATGCAACTTGTTTCAAACTTAACCATTTTCACGGCTAGTAAACACGTCGTTGGTAGGTACGAAAATCGGTATATTTTTAAAAGGAATAAAAGACTTAACAATTAAAAAATTACTCGCCTGCCCCCAAAATACTTTATTAATCTTAACTCTTCCACAACCAGGCCACGTCATACTAGGGTTAAAATTTTTGGAGGAAATCTTATGGCTTCGCGGCTCGGTAAATTTTACCACTATCCACCTCCACCTCCACCTCGGTAAATAATTGTTATCTAACACCCCTTTTTGACAGAGTGATACCTTCAGAGGTTACGGAGACAGTTGGTAATTGCACCATTAAATTTCTGGAGCACGTTCAAGTGAGGGTAAATCTAGTTTTTGAGCGTCGTGGAGACCTGTATTTGGAGCTGATTGCGCGTAGTGGAACCATATCTCCATTGACTCGTCAGAGGAGAGTGGACAATATATATGGAGACAAAAACCTGACAAACTGGTATATCACTACCTTATTCAGTTGGGGAGAAGATCCTAAAGGACAGTGGAAGCTCAGAATTGAAAATTTGGACCCAAATTACACAACAGCCGGTGAGTGACTTTTAACGTTTTAAGGTAATGTTAATTGTTTACGCCTGCGTAGTGCCAGGGACGACCAAATGACACCACAAGGGTGCAAATGAACAACATAGCGGAAAACTTTCACAGCGTTCAATCTAGAAATTAGTCAAAGTGGGTCATGTGTCCCACATGGCATTTTAAATTGGTTCATTTAAAAATGGTCCGGGTCAAACTATGATATTGAAACTTTGAACAACTGACATCACCGAAACGCACAGCTATACCACTGTTATTTTTTGGGTTTGAGGCAGTTGGCTCTTGAAGTTCTGGAGGTTAACTTGTCAAGCATACTTTTCCAGCATCAACATCCTTATGAAACCCTTCCCCATACTTTTCAGTACTTACACATAAGGTAACTTTAAGGGGGGATCAGTATTACTAGAATGCTTCTGGTATTACTCCACGATAATTTCATTTTGAGTCAGAAGAGAATATTCCGCGTTAATGAAGCAAATGAACACTGACAGCAACTGTGCCATTTTACTATGATAACTGTGAACATAAAAGGCCAAAAAAAAAAAAATCAGTCTTGGAAAATTATCGACAGTATTAGCTACATATTTGTTTAGTTTGTACTCAGTCACATACAAACTCCTCGATCCGCGGAATTCTTCATATCCTACTCAGCTCTTTTAATAACTGCTAAATAATGCATACTTATCAAGGATAACTGTGTCAGTTGTAGAGAAAAGTGCTATCAATATAAGTCCTGCTGTTTAAAAATTACAAAGAATAAAAGACTGACAATAATGCTATTAGCAGGATAGTAGTAGTAAAAACGCTACCTTAAGACCTGGCTTTCAATCCAAACTGGTAATGTTGTCATTGTTAGATTAGTAGCCCCGCCATGGTAAAGGAATAAACTATATCCGATACAACGCCCAGATATTTAAATGCATTCGTGCTCTTAATAGATTGACATCGAAAGTGTCACTTTTCTACGAAGCAAGACGTTTGCCGCCCACCGAAAACCATTCATTTTGTCTTCTTTACGTTCCGTATAACTAGATTATATAGCGAGTTGGAATCTCGATACTTCGAAATTTCTGGGGAAATTGAATGTTGGCTTGAATAATCCAGAGGTTCTAAACCTCGGATGGAAGGTGGGAACAAACCGCAGTGGAGTGGAGAAACATCCTACAATATTTTTAGGTGTTTTCTTCATTATCAGGAGTTTCCTTTCTAGGAGAATTTCGCTTGTGTTAAAACCAGTTAGCTAAATCTTGATTTAAGTGGATCGTGAAACTGTTGTTTATGAATAAGAGTTTCTTCCAGTGACCTCATTTGATATTTTTCTGACCACCTTCTTGTTTTAAATTGTTTGTTCAAGGTCTTCTTTACAGCTGGTCGCTAATTCTGTACGGAACAGAGAAGGATCCCCTATCAAAGAACCTACATGTTTCGACGATTTCTACAAAGGTTAAACCTGCAACATATTCAACAACTTCGCCTTCTTCAAGAAAACCTAAAAGCCACACCTCAGAAAGACCTGCTACAACAACACAGCCAACTTCAAAACCTGGTAGGCCAAACTTATTGCCATTTTCTATTTGGAACATGACCAAGTCCATCGATACTACAATAAAGTCAAGAAAAAAAAATGTTTTAAAACACAGTCCGTTACATTTTTTAACCAACGACAGACGGCTTAGCGCTGACAACTTATGCCCGGTTTACACTACAGAAAATTTTTGGCACTGCTCGGGTGAAAATGGCACGGGCTCCCCCAAAAAGGGTTCGGCTCGGATAAAATTGGCAGTGTAAACAACCTGTCCGTACCAAATTTCATCTTTGCCGAACCAAAATTTTTACCCGTGCTGGGACCTTCGGCGAGGTACTCCGAGTACGTGTGAAAATGTTCGGGTGCTGAAAAAATCGGCACGGTTCGGATAGAACAAATAGTGAAAACACTTTGACGGGCCAAATTTGTGCCTTAATTCATATAGGCTAGCAGTTTTCTTGCGTATATTTCAAGATGGCTCAGTGCTCGTTCTCCACCAAAATCACGCGGACGTTCTTGGAAAGAACTTGGAAAGAACGCGACGTAAAAGAATTACTTACAATTATGAAAGAAGCGACCAAACGTTCCTATCGATGGGTGGATTTGTCAACATTATAACCACAAGAAATATAAAAAGTTTCCTTAATTCCTTTCATTTTTAAAATAAAAGGATTCTTGCCGGCAAATTCTTGCCAACTTGGGTGTCCACAGTTGAGCTTTGAACTGTCTCTCTTCAGAGATACAGCACGAAGGTTTCGTCGTCCATCTTTGCTTCTAATTGAACTGCGCATGTCTCCAAGGGAACTTACGCGGGCCCAAAAATTTTGGCACGGTATTTTTGGTACGGTAAAAATGGTGTAGTGTAAACAAAGTTTGCAGAGCTCTTTTTTAGCACCCGTGCCATCCAATTTCACCCGAGCCGTGCCAAAAATGTTCTGTTGTGTAAACCGGGCTTAAGTTATGGGGAGTTTTGCTCAGCACGAAAGAAGCGGCATTACGTTGGGAAATGTGTAGCACCCCCTAAAGGCTTCCATTCAAGTAAAAGATTCCGTATTGTCCTGCGACTGTTCAGTAAAAGACAGCAAATGACGTCAAAGTGTGGTGATCGGCCTGTGTCATTGATGTTCTTACCTCATTTTGACGCCATTTTCTCTGATCTATGACTGAACGAAAACATCGCATGATTTTTTCTTTTCTTTCTGCAATGAACAGAAAAGTAGAGCTCGATTTGTTGCAGTTGGTCGACGGATGTTTTGAAGTCGCCAAAAGCAAATTTCGTGGCGGCCTCTGCTCGTTTAATTCAGTAAAAATAATGAGTAATGCAAACATCTTGTAAACTGTACGCCACTTTGGAAAAAGCAGAGAATACAATTTTTCTGTTAAGTCATTCGTGTGTATTTACTCTGACAGGTCATGAGTAACGACCAATGATGGCGCGCGTAGTATTCAGCAAAAAGTCAATGGTGCAAAAGAGTTTCTTTACAGTTTGGAGACTGTGTTGTCATGAACGCGCACCTTATGGTGTGTGCAAATCATCTTTTCCACATTACTACTGTTGTCGAATAACGTTGTCGTTGAATCGGTCGCTTTGCGTCTCAAGGTGATGTTGTTATCCTGAATGTCTTTTGCACAGTTGCTGGCAATACTTTAGACACCGCTATGAAAGTCATTCATCTTGTTTAACTGTATCTTTGTTTTGTGTGTGTTTTTTTTTTCGTAGACTATCCTACGCCGCTTCGTGTCATCACTGGTGTTATCTTCTCCCTAGGTTTTGTTGCTGTGCTTGTGATGTGTAAAGTGAAAAGAGCCAAATGGACCCCAAAGGCCAAATCGGCCCCAGTTTCTCTAGAACGAGTTTGGAACACGCTGGGCCGTTTTGGACAGAAAGAACAACAACAACAACACTTTATTCACATTTCCATTACAGGGTTTGTCAAACTTATTGAATAATTAGTAACTTAACACGTAGAATATTCAATTACAATTTAAACTAAATATTATTACATAGAAGGAAATGCCTAGCGGCTAGATAACCGTAAGGTTTTCGAGCTTGCAACTAGTTCTTTGAAAGTAGTGTCGAATGTACAGGACATCACAATAACTAGACATACAAAACATCTTAAGACACGCACCATAAAAAAAAAAAGAAGAAAGCACATAGATGGCAAAAAAAAGAAGAGAAAACAGTCATCATAGTACATGACAATATGATTAAAATAAAATAATTTCATTAAGAAAAAAGAGAAAAGAAAAGAGTCAGAACAGTTCAAGATGGAACCAAATGGGCCCATCTAATTTCTGAATTGTCTACACTAAAAGCTATTTTGGCACTTTGCAGTTTCACGTTGCCGAGATTTCAAATTTTAGCAAGGCGTTCAGTTCAGTTCAGTTGAGGTCATTTCATTTTTATTTAGCCAAAATATAATACAATATAAGAATACGTATAGGAATTTTAAGTTGGCAAATGACCTCAGAAGAAACCAGAAGGCGTTATGAAACCTGGGCTCCCCAGTTACAAAGAAATAAGCTAAATCAAATGAAATTCGCGGAGTGATACGTTAAAATAGGAACTAAACAGAGACTGACTTAAGTTTTGAATTCAGTAACAAGATAGAAAAAAAAAATTTAACTCTGGATTGGAACAGAAAACTTTCTTATGTTAGAACAGCAAGGGAATATAAAATCGATTTGAACAACGCGTTCATTGTTTAGTGCCGCCATGTTGTTTTTCGTCAAGTCGAAGTGCATCACTTTTATCGCCCAAAAAACAGGAATAATTCATTGATTCGAGATCAAAAATCTAACAAACAAATCGCAAACGGATATAAAAAGCTACTTCGTACCTTTAAACGCGAGGCTGTACAATTTTTAGTGGCGAAAAACCTTGCCGAAAATCACTTACCGCTGGAAGCTCTTCCTGCGGTTTAAACGTGAACTGTAAACTGCAAACGTGACCTCAAGGCCGTTGTCATGTGGAGCAACGGGCGTAAAGGAGCTGGACCATCCTGGACTTGTCCTTACACTGCTTTAGCCCATGTCCACATAAATCCGTGTACAAACGTTTTGGTTCGCGGCTTCCACTATTCTTCCGTTTACCTGCTTGTTCACCATGCAGATCGTTTCCGACAAAAACTCCTTTTGTGTTAATCGTCACATCATTCTCGTACAAAGTAGTACAAATTGCATGTAATTACCTTGGATTCTGGCTTTGTTCTTTTCACTGTGGTGTTCATAACTGAAGATTTAGAGACATTCTGTTGCCGCCTTTGTGGTACTTTCCAACCACATGGTTTGGAAGTACAGGATAGAAGCTCAGGGATGCACTTTGATTCTTCCACAGAAAATCTGGCAATGACCTTCATAAGTGTATAAAAATGATTACACCAACCACCTTTGCCAGCTCTAAATGTACAGTAAGCATCTATAACAGCTGAAGATGACTCTTTTTTTTTTTATAGTAAAGCATAGTTTGTAATTTTCCTTTCTGTAGCTAGCACTACAAATGGCTCGAACATAAAAAAATTTACCTTCATTCAAACAGCTAATGTTGAACTGGAAATTATCATTTAACAGCTGTTCAGTTCTTTTATTCAACTTAACGGTTTTTCCAGAGTCTTTAAAAAATGCCTCTTTTTCTCTAAGAGTGAACTAAAGTAATCCATCCAAACTTCTGGTCCAATGACTCACCGCGTCTGAGGAGGAGGTTCAGTAATTTCCTGTAAACAAAATGAGTCCCGTTACACATTAAATACGTTGGAAGAATAACGAGGGCCTTCCAGGGGTTTTAGGGAAGAAGGGATATCTTAAAATAACTTTTAGGGAACAAGGGAACTTTTGAGTTGTAATGGGGAACAACGGAACATTGATTTCCTAAAAGGTTACAAGTAATAAGAAGTACTAAAGAATATCCAAAATATATAAAAAGCAAGCATACACTAAGTTAAAAACCGTTTAAAACTTCAATAAAAGTTACAAGTAAAAATCGTCCAAGGCTTTCCTAAATAAAATTTTAGAATTAATATCTCTTAAACTTAATGGCAGTGAATCGAGGCACCCATAAAATAAAAACTACGGCGCGCAAAATTCAGTTTCACCTTGGGCAGTTTTACTGCTTTCCCATTGTTTCTAGAGTTTTGAGCATTATGATCAAATGGTTGAAAATAATTCCTAAATGGGAAACATGCAGTTCCATTGTTAGGAGGCAGTCAAATACAAAACAGCGCGCTTTCCTTTGCAAAACGTTGTCGATTATTAACAATCGAAGTTCTTCTGACTGCATTTCGGGGAAATGATTTCGAGGCTTCGTTTCTCAATAGAGCGGATCATGCTTTTGCGGGACTCTGACCATCCAAGACTGTTATACCCGCAATACGGAAATATTGACATAATCATCGACTGGTAAATTTGTAGAGCACTACTATCAATGCTGGAACAGAAGCGCCGTAAGAGGTTCACTCTTCCTGCTGCCTTTCTGTAACTTTTCTGAAAATGTGTTTCAAAATTAAATTGTAAGAGGAAAAAGGGCCTTTCGGACGACAAAATATTACAGTTTCTCTCATTTTTCGGGCCTTGGGGACAAATCATATACTTTGTTCGTCGCATTAGAATTGGGGAAAAAAAGCTAAAATATGGTTAAAAATAAGCGACGGGCATCACACGACTCCTGCACTTACATTGAAAGTTGTATGACCTTCAAAACCTCACTCTATAAGCTAACTAACAGGTCCTTAAAATAGATTTTCTGTTGCGATAAGATATGAGGTGAGGCTTCTTAAAGATTTCTCTTAGCCGTTGTTGGTTTTGTATAAGGTGCCATTTCCCCATTATTTTTCTCTTCAGGCTAGGTGAAGCCTGGTTGTATTGTGTTATAAAAGGCAGAAGTTTTTTACGTGCGGATTTGTTTTTCTGTTGTAGGACCGGTGTCCTGTCGGCAAATTTTACCTCAGAGAGGTATTTTCTTAAATTAGGACAGACAGGGACAGACAGGGTAGCCCTTTTCTAACAGGCGGAAATGAAAATGAAATATGATTGCGCCATACAGCCGCCCACCCCCCCTCCACAGACCCTCAGCACGGCACTCCTCGGCGCTACACTACAACCTGTCGCCTCAGCATAGGACTTAGGAGTCAAACTCGAAACTCATACGACTTACGAGCATCATATACCAAATACAGACTCGGCTTGTTATTAAAATCTAACTAGAATCTTTATA